TGAAGAGGGGGGAGCACGGGGTTCAGGATCGCATTAGAGATAACATGGGGGAGAGAGAGAGAGAGAGAGGAAAAAAAAAGGAGAGAATGCAAAACCAGAGAATGCAGACTGACGAGGACTCGAGGGGCAGAGCTGCACATGGCCTTCCGCTTCATCGTTACGCGCCGCTGCCGCATGCGTGGCCGCATTGGCGCTGGTCACCTGGGACACTAGGTGGATAGAAAGACGAGAAGGAGAGCACTCGAGAATAACAGAGAGAACTCGGCGACGAGGTGGTAGAGCACTCGGCGACGAGGTGGTAGAAAGACGAGAAGGAGAGCACTCGGCGACGAGGTGGTAGAATATGAGAGCGCTCGAGAAGAACAGAGACGCCCCTGCGCCGCTTCGAGCGCTGCGGCTCAGACGGCAGCGGCCCATTCGGTCCCTCATTGACCGCGCCATCCACACTGCATGGTGCATGGCCTCCATGATGGCCGACTGCTTATCCCTACAGTGCACGTCGTGGGCGTGGCCCCAGAGGCTTCGACGACAACACGCAGCATCCGAAGACCCCGCCTGCCGAGGCCAACGTCGCCGATCCCCTGCCTGCCCGAGGCGAACTCCACCGGAGGGAATCGGAACACGATTTTTTGATTCGCGGGTCGAGAGCGCACCTCTTCCAGTCGACGCTAAGCGGGCCGTTGCGAAGCTTGAACCAACCAGGGATGGGGGAGGAGGGAATCGGAACACGACCGCTGCCCGCTGTTTCAAACGCTTGCGAGGGGGAGGGGCCGGCACCCCAGCAGCCTTTGGGAGTCCCGAAGCGGTGCGGCCACAGCCCGTGCGGTGACCTCGAAATCCCCCGCCAGACCTCACCGCACGGTCCGTCACCGCACGGCCTTTGGGACCCTGGAGGCCCCCGTCGCCCGAGGCGTCCCCGGAGGACGACCCGAGTCCCAGAACCGTGCGGCGACCCCGAATCCCCACCGACTCACCGCACGGTGTGGTCACCGCCCCGTGTGGGGGCCCCGCATCGGGAGCGGCCAAGAGGGGGGTGTCCAAGAGGCGGGGTGCAAATCGTGACCGGCGGCATGTGCGCGGCCCAGCGGGGGGGCCAGGGACGCAATGGAATAAGAAGAGGCGCCATACATTCTGGGGAAATCTCATGGCCCCGGCCATGAGATCCACCCCCCCCTGGTCATCGACCCCCCTCTTTGCCACCCCTGGGTAGAAAAGATAAGGGCTCGAGAGGAGGAGGAAGAGGAGGAAGAGGAGGAGGAGGAGGAGTAACCCTGATAAGTCTTTATAAATCCCGTGGCCAGTAGATGGAACAAAAATATCTTTCGGGCGAATGTATTGACAACTCGGAAAAAAAACGACCCCACCCGACAATAGCGGAAAATAATTATAGTTCGGGCGGCCGACGACGAAGACGAAGACGAAGACGATAACGAGTACGTGTGTGATTACGACTACGACAGCGATACGACGACGAAGACGAAGACGCATGTGCGCGGCGCTAAGGCGAGAGCTGGATTTTGAA